TGAGACCGTATAATCCGAGGCCCCGACCGTGTCACAGCAGGTGTGGCACGATAAGATCCCCCCCCCCCCTGCTCAAAGGCCGTAAGTACCTAAATTTGCAGCCCTTGAACGAAAATAATGACTTCTCAATATCAGTGAAATATTCTGGAGCAGGACGTTAAACAGTATACGATCAATCAACATTACGTCAAGTGTTCGAATCCCACTATGGGACAAAGGCATCGAACCTTCGTATTTGACCGAATAGGCCGTAGTCCAGTGTTGCAGTAGGATGATACAAAAAAGATCCCTTTTTGCTTACTGGATCTGGGTGCCGAGAATGGGACAAACGTAACTGATCTCCACCGGAGAATTGCAGTCTCTGCCATTGGGTGAAATATTCTCGAGAAAAAACATACATCAATCTATATAAGTTATCCTAAAATATGGAATTTGAAAGGCCGTTCGTGTATCAAAGATATTACTAGTTATTTTAGATAATTCAAATCATGAATGTTTTAACTGCACATTTTGAATATTTTTAATAAATGATTTTGTATAAATACATTTTTCATTTTCATTTTTTTACAGTGTACATTTTTTATTTTAGCCCGCAAAATAAATAAGTAGAAAGATTTTGCTCTTTCTATATATCTTTGATTTAATTTGAAGAAAACGATGCCTTTTTTTAAAAAAGAATGATAAGACATCATGTTCAAATGCTATAAATCTGACTCTTGGTATAAGGACTGACTCACATTTATAAGTGTTCGTTCTATGGATACTAAATCCTAACAAAATGGTAAATTGTTTTCTGTAATAATAAAATCTGTCCAATGCCTGTTTGTACCAGTCCAATCATAGTGATTTATTATTGCTTAATACATTTGCATGAAATCCTAGTCGCAAAGGATTTCTAGATATATTTCATAATAAAATTTGCCTGAAGTATGTACAGATCAATTTTTCGCGACATGATAGTCTGTTGAAACCGCTTTCTTCGTTATAAAGTCATGTAAATTATAAAAATTATAAACTACATGTATCGATTAAAAATCACAACCTAGAAATGGATAACCTTTATAAGAGAGAGAAAGAGAGAGAGGGGGGGGGTCAGAAAGAAAAGAAGATAGAAACAAATTAGTTCCATACAAGATTGACATTCGTACCGTAGGTAGACGCAAGTTCAATAAAACTGCTGAAAAGGTAAAGCACTACAAGTTTTGTATTCATATTGTTCAAAATGAACTAGTTTCACACAAGGAAGTGCAATTTAATCGATATCGATAAGGTTAGACATGAGTATAAGATTTACAATCCCTTATAGAGCTTTACATGAAGTTTTGGAATGCCATTTAAAAAAATCAATTGAACTTGTTTTCAAAGCGTTAAGTTACAAAAGAAAGTTTTTGCCAGTGAATTTCATATCAACATTTTGACACCTTTTTTTCAACATTTGAATTATTTCTTAATGAATGATATCGACCATAGTAATGTATTATGTTCTTAAAAATCAAATAAGTTATTTGAGAACAATGGAAAATTACATTTATAGTCTCATTTATCTTGTTTTTAGTGTAGAAACATTTTAAGTATTCCAAAGAAAATGTGATAATCGGTACATTCTTAATTTTTTTTGAAGTGCCGAGTAAAAAGAGCCGTAGATAAATCAAACACTTGTCTGCTCTGGGAAATTTTAAACGTGTCGATTTATTCTTGTTTCATGTTTTTAGATATGTATATTGAGAAAAGAACATAATATCAAAAGCTTTATAATGTAATATTTTGATTAAATGTATAAACACGTCTCAAAAAGACAGAAAAAACAGAACAATTTAGTCATTCAGGTGTTCAAAATTCAATCTAAAAAGTGAAATTAAAAGGATTTCAAATCTAGGGTTAACGATTGCTTTTAAGTGATTTATGATTCATAACATTAAGGGTAGTCAATTGATGATGAAGATATTTCAAATACCCGGTAGTTAAAAAAAATTCGTCACAGAAAATACTTAATTTAGGTAAAGATCGAAACCATGCTTTGGAAATAGAAAGCTACTGATTTTTTCAAATTCACAGAATTTTATAGAAAAAAGAAAAGGAAAACAAATTAAAGAAGAAGAACCTGTGAAAGAATCATTAAATTTTATTTAAGTGATAGAGGAAGAGTATCTGTTCGTTATTTCCATATCCGTCTGATAAGAGATGGAATCATATCAATATTAACGATAAACGTCCATATTTTGCTCTGGTAATCCCTAAAAACAATGTGTCCTACAAAAACATTTAACTTTTCAAGTGGGATTTATACAAGTGATGAAGCAACTTCAAGTTGAAAATACCTAGAAGTTATGAAGCAAAGAATTTCAAGTTTAAAAAAAGTGAATTCAGTATAAAAAAATGTTATTTTTTCCTACAAAATTTTTTAAAAATGGATAAATAATAGAAATGTACCATACAAATAATTTCTATAATCGTATCTGATAAAATACTGTGGAGTTCAAAATTTATTTTATCAGAGATGGAAAAAAATTATCTGTAAAAAGTGAGAAAGGAAGAGTCTGTATATGTTTAACATCAAATGTTCCTTATACTATCAGATAGATAAACCCAGGAATATAAAGGCATTTGTTGTATATTATATTGCATTAAAATGTTGTCTATGAATATTCTTTAATAATAAACTATTGTACATTTTAAGATCATTTTTGTTATTTATCCATTTAACCAGACAGTTCTATCTAAATGATTCGTCAATATGTACTAATTTTCTCTCTATTACTTATTTCTTTTTTTTTGCACAAATGATTCTCTATCATAGTGGATTGGTAAGAGCAAACAAGCATCCGCATGATCATAATTTATGATTTCTAACATGAACATAATGACCTTTCTTGTGTTTAACATTTTATTTCCTCTTTATCATATATTTTTTTTCATACGCTTCAGCCTTTGAATTATTATAAAATAACTACTGCAATTTCGTGTAAACTAATGAATGTTCTATCTTTTTTCATGTTATTCTTCAATTCACTAGATCATTACATTATACTAATAAGCCTCTGTTCCATTTACATACCCTTTGCCTTCTTTACATATATGCGAAAGAAAAATGTTGCAAATTCAATTTACAAAGATTAATTTCGTATAAAACTGACCCGGCAAACTAAAAACTGACAATAAATGTATTGGCAAGTATGAATTCAAAGTTCTAAATCGAGTCATAAATAACCTTGTAAAAATATAATGTAGCATAGGAATTTAAATAAACCAATAAAAAATTGTCGACCATATGGTAAAGGGATAAAACTCTTATAAAAAGACATGGGTTATAAAAGGAATGTTTGCATGTAACAGCTAATGTAATTTGTCATAATAAGAAGGTCGACTTATTTGATCCAGTTCCTGATATCCGGGATTATCTTCCACTTTTTCATAAATGTCTGTATGGGACGATTTTTGATCTGTGGACAATTGTTTCGCGTTGATTGTTTCTTGATCTTGTCCCATGTTTGTTCTATTTCTAAGAAACCTAAAATCGAAAAATACTCCTGCATATTTTAATCATATTTATTAAACAAATAATTAACTTTCTAATACTTTCAGAAATCGGGACAACTTGAAATGTAAATCCAAATTAAAATAAATGATAAACTTACCAGATTACGAAGAAAATATTGAAAGCAATGCTCAAGCAAAGAATTGATATAACTCCGTAAAGAGATGGATAGCAGACACTGTTTCTATCAGAATCTGATGGTTGTCCTATTACTGTAAAAAAAGGAAACATATATTAAAATTTATCTTAAATATTGCCGGCAATCTTCAATACGTTACACCAATATGCTTCTGAATCAATAAAGCATTGTTTCTTTATTTTTCGTGATAACCCCATAAAAGTCTTTTTATGATATAAAAACATCCGTTGATAATTTCTTAGAAAATAATAATTTAATAATGAACATAACAAGAAAATAGCCAAAACGAGCATGCTCAGATGGGGAATTGACATGCCAGTATGCATTGTAGGAATATCAAATGTATTCACTAAGGCAAATAATAAAATATGTACAGTGCACCTTCAGATATCTGGACTGACAGATATCGTTTTTTCAGTATCCGGGGGATTTTTTTTATCTAAACAGATTTCATAAACATTATTTTATCTTGTTTAATTGGTAACCCAGGTATATAGACTACACATATCCGGACAGATTTACAAGGAACCACAGTGTCTGGATAAATGAAACTGCATTGTACTAGATCTTTAAAAATGAAATATTTATACAACGGTAATATTGATTTTATTTGGATGTTTGTACAAGCCATGACTCAAAAACATAAATATATGTGCTTATTAAAAGAAAATATGTCCGCCGCTTATGGAAAGAGTAAAGCAAACTTAGATCGTATTTACTTGCTTAATATATACTTTTGGTAGATTAAGAAATAAAAAAAAATATATTTAAAAAAAATGAGAAAAAAGAATCATCGTGAATTTGATCCCAGGACATCTCAAATGCTAATCAAGAAAAAAAAAACTTCTTTAGTGGCGATGCGCTAAAATTTCAAGAGAACTAAATGAAAACAAAAGCCTTAGGATTTTCAATTTAATGATTTTATTACCTTCCATTTTATTTCTCTAAATATAAAATTAAAACAGTTTGTCTAATTTAGTCTTAGTGTATGAATTTACGACTCTTGCCCTTTCCATGTAGACCTTAAAAACGTGTGTTTTTGCCTAAGCTATAGAAAGTTATAGCATAAAATGTCATTGCAATAAGCTCAAAGGCTTCTCAAGATACCGTGCAGATCTAAAATTATTAAAACAGGGAGGGAGAATTTTGGAATTCATGACCTTTACTCTTGACCCCAAAATCTACACCGGTCTTCAAGCCATAGGGATTTGCTTTGTAACATTACATCACAACAGCTTAAAAGCTTGTCGATGGTTTGCGTGGAAGCGAAAGTGTTAGAAAGAATTATGGTGTTTTTTTATTAGCAGGTGCATTTAATTCAGTTTTTTAGTCTGAGATTATTTCCAATGAACCTAAATATTGTTTATGAATATTTTTTAACAGAATAGCAACAACAACAAAAAAAAAATCGAGGAGATAATGACCAAAAAAAAAAAATAATAACAAAAAAAGATAGTAGAATTCAAAATTATGGTGTTGATGTATTTTCAGATTCATATTTCCATACTCAAGTCCAGTGAAGATAGATGGACAATTATGTAGACAACAAAAGAAAATACTAGTACCGCTGCATTGTCCCGAAATGGTGTCACATGTCCTAAGAACTTTACAGTTTTTGCTGCATGTCTCCTGACAGTTGTATCCATACATCCCGTCTGGACAGACTAGAAATAAATGTTAAAACATGCATGTAATAGCTTTTGTAACTACAAAAAAATCATCTGATATTTTCATTTGTCTCCACGTGGCACAATGCATTTAGCTCCTTATGCCGCCACTATACAGCAAAGAGGTAACTTCTTCACAACACTGTACTGAGTGAGGCCAAGTTGGATATTTTCTGAATATGCATGGAAATGTAAATATCAGTATAAGTTTATTTTAGCCTTTTAGTCTTCTAGTATTTTTATTTATGTAAACCCACTGACAATAGTTTAACTCTGTTTGATATGAAGAAACAAAATTAAGATTAAGTGAATTGAAAAATGCCATTTATTTACATTATAAATGACTGTATGAAAAAACACAAAATATCATGCATATAAACATATAATGCAGAATCAGAAAAATTGAACAATTGAAAATATAATCAATTTTGTTTCAATAGATATCAAAGGTGGGGTATAAAAATTGCCTTCGCAGAATTTTTGTTTGCGCGTTCACTGACAAGGCTCTGTGAGGGAATGGTGAAAGGCGTGAGAACCCGCGCGCATATCTTAGCATCCGACGGCCGAGCCTATAAATCATATCAATTTACAGAAAAATCTTCGAGAATTGCTTTAATCTCACGGATAAGAAATTTTGGGATTAAGAAACTAAATTGATAGCATGGGTCTGCCGTGTCAGATGTTTTACATAAATTAATTTAAGGATGTAAATTAAATATTTATGTAAACCCACTGACAATAGTTTAACTCTGTTTGATATGAAGAAACAAAATTAAGATTAAGTGAATTGAAAAATGCCATTTATTTACATTATAAATGACTGTATGAAAAAACACAAAATATCATGCATATAAACATATAATGCAGAATCAGAAAAATTGAACAATTGAAAATATAATCAATTTTGTTTCAATAGATATCAAAGGTGGGGTATAAAAATTCGCCACATTATTGTGTTTACATAAACGCAATAAACCCCATCCTTAAACTATTGTCTTCTAATGAATTGTTAATATTAATGCACAAACATAAATACCACACAGTTTCTTCAAAGACGGACAAGATGCTCCTTTATAAGTGATAGAAGGATCTAGTTCAAGCTCCATTAACCAGCAGTGTCCATAACACGTTATAATTAAGTTCACGATCCTCTGTCCTATTTCATCAAAGTTTCTAACATCATTATTACGGCCAACCAGAATCAAAAAACGAATTATACATTATATAAACACAACCAGGCGAATAAGTCAGAGGCCCATGTCCCCGTGACTTATAATTAATGTCGAAGAAAAATGAACGCAGTTGTACCTCCATTAGGTTTAAGTCAGAGGCCCTTGTCCCCATGACTTACATGTAAGTTCGAAAAATCAAAACAGTCCATCCTTTATTTGTAAGGTTAAGTCAGAGGTCCCTGTCCCCATGACTCAAGTTTGAAAATCAAAACATTCCATGCTATATTTATACGGTTAAGTCAGAGGCCCATGTCCCCATGACCTAGGTTTAAAATTCAAAACAGTCCATGCTATAAAGGGAAATTAAATATAAATCTGGAAACTTATATTCGCTATGTCCAAAAACCAGCTGATCGTAGTATGTGTTGATATTTAGTGCATAATCAGAGGCCCCTGTCCCCATGATTATACTTACTGCAGAAAATATTTAGATTTTCAAAACAGGTATGCGTATGTATTTCTTGTATGCGTCGGAATGCCATCGTCCCATCTGTTTAATCTTTTCGTCTGAAATACCCATTTCGGCCGCTGACGTTGCCGCACCAATTCGAAAACTGTGAGTTTTATAGAGTTTAGAATCGAGACCCGACCACTTTAAAGACATTTGTAGACAGTTTGTAAATTGTTGCCTTTGGATTCCATGACCATCAGGGTAAGAAAAAAGGGGACCCATGACTTGACCCCTTAGTGTAATAAATGACAACAGTGCTTGCACTGGACAGAGCCCTTCATTGGAATTACTAGCCTGTAGAAACAAGGAGGGAATATGTCGGCCAGAACTGTGCTTGAAAGAATCAGGTCTAATTTCTAGGCCTTCTAGTGTGTTTGATTCGTCTCGAACAAGTCTAACATTTTCCAGTAGCAAAACATTACCTCTGTGATGTCGAGATGTGATAGTTATTTCCCCCACTCTTAAGAAGGCATGGAAGGCCAACAAATACATTGATTTTAGCATGCTGCGCTGGTAAAACGAGATACCTAAATGATCAAGCGAGTCAACTAAATTTCTTAGAATAGACGGTGTTATAGGCAGCCTCGTATCCCCTGTACCTGGTTTTAACTTTTCATACCCTTGTAGCATTTTGCGAATTACAAAAAGCTGTGTTACGTCTTGATAGCCCTTTAATTTAAATATATATCCTAGAGCTGATAGATAACTTTTCAAGGTTGACGTCGCCATGTTGGATTGAAAACAAAAGGCTACAAAAAGTGCGACATGTTGAGATGATGGTGGTAAGATGGGGACATTTGGATATTGGTTGAAAATGAAGGACTTATAACATGTAAAAGCTCTATCGTATGATGACCTAGACGCTTTAGAAAGTGAACTCTGCAAAATGAAGTCTGCTAGGTTCTTTAAAGGTTGAGCATTGTTGGAGATATTGGTGTCGGCACTGGATTCATAGATGGGAACCCCTCCTTGAATTCTTGTACCATCGCTAGCCTGGGAAAGCGGCTCCGTGGACGTGCTTGGTAATTCCTGAGACACCTCTGGGGCTTTATCTGTATGCTCCTCGCTCTTATTATTCATTGCCGAAAGGACTGCTTCAGTGATTTTTGGCAGGGCTAATTGTATAGCGTTGTTCACCTGCTCGGCAATGTCAACAGAGGCTGATGTCTGCTTTCGACGTTTTGCCGGGCTTGAAGTCTCAGAGGATGGCGTGTTCTTGTTTGTAGTGCTCTTTGGTCTTTTCTTTTTGGGTGGCATATTTTGGCCTACAAAACGAGACACCTGTCTTAAGAATGAAGACACTCATAGTTCAAAACCTTATCTGCCTACATACATATTGAATTGACTTTGCATATTAACATGAAAAAATTTTAAGTATAAAAATGCCCTTGATCGCCAAATTAGGCTTCTAATGGAAATAATTTTTCCAAGCCTTATGGTGCCATAGACAACCAAGGACACCCAAATACTTAAGTGTGCAAAAGTTTCATAGCAGTCAATTCACAGAGGCCAAACATAGGCTATTTTGACAGATCACAAGGGAAATAATCAAGAAATTGCCAAAGCGGCATATCATTTACACTTGAGCATAATTCTCAGGTGTAACATACATCAGCGTGTAGCGACACTTCACACTTATAAGCTGCTAGCCATAACATAAAAGCAACTGCTCAGCTGTACATATTACAGCTCATAGCGACATATCGCAAACATCAAGATGCCATGTGCATCAAAATGAACAGAAGCCATTTCTACTGTGACATATCACAGTGCATATATAGTGACAGATCACTAAAACGATGCCATGTGCATCAAATGACTAGCAGCTATCGTAAAATGTTCTACACTCTATACACCATAATATTTGTTGGTAGTACATCGATATTCAAGCTAGCCGTTGCGGATAAATTGAAGTTAGCATATTCACAATGTTCTCTGATATACGATTGTAATCTATTTACATGAGAAGATCCCGCAATTAGAATAGACACCATTGTTTTGAATTATATGCTTTCACCAAAAAGCTAGTTCTGTTCCACAATAAAAAATTCAAGTACATGTATCTTGAATGCATAATTACTACAAAAATTAAAAATAAAATAAAACTTATCTCATAACATGAATATGGTGAAGGTAAACATGCCATCACTTTTGGATAGCCTTCAAGGAGTGCAATATTGCCCCACGTAGATTCCTATAGTATATCATCATCCCATGTTCTTTGTTAAAGTGAACGCCATCACAAAATATCGGATATTTAGAGTGTTTAATATTTTTAAGTTTCCAATATTGCACACTCGTTTTCTGTACCAGCAGACATTTCAATTCTCTGTTGAATTTGATCACAAGTTCATTATACGATGTTGTGTCTAAAAGTCGAGTCCTAAAACGAGGCATTAGCTGACAAATTTTCACATGTGCAATATTGTAGCGTGATGCGAAAGTTTCTGCGATGCATAAAAGGCGCAGGCTTAATTCCCTCACAAACGATTCATCTGCTGTTACATTGTCAACATCATTACCTCCTATATGTAAAATGAGTACACCTGGACGTAGATCAGCGATTTTCCTTTCTAACATATTTATATGAGCCGAACATGATAATTTCCCACCACTTATTCCAAAATAATTAATCGCCGTTGCGGATAAATTGAAGTTAGCATATTCACAATGTTCTCTGATATACGATTGTAATCTATTTACATGAGAAGATCCCGCAATTAGAATAGACACAATTGTTTTGAATTATATGCTTTCACCAAAAAGCTAGTTCTGTTCCACAATAAAAAATTCAAGAACATAGGGATCCGACATGCCGAGGAAAATAAACATCAAAAATTAAAATCCATACCTTTCTATCCCAATTGAATAGATATGAAGAGATCAACAATTAAAATTACAGCAGAATTTTTGTTTGCGCGTTCACTGACAAGGCTCTGTGAGGGAATGGTGAAAGGCGTGAGAACCCGCGCGCATATCTTAGCATCCGACGGCCGAGCCTATAAATCATATCAATTTACAGAAAAATCTTCGAGAATTGCTTTAATCTCACGGATAAGAAATTTTGGGATTAAGAAACTAAATTGATAGCATGGGTCTGCCGTGTCAGATGTTTTACATAAATTAATTTAAGGATGTAAATTAAATATTTCTGTAGAGAACCTTCAACATATTACCATGTGTACAGTTGATTCCTTGGTATCCCCTATCACAGCCATTCAAGCATGAACCGTTTATGTGATGACATTGTTCTTTATCAAGGCAAACTCCGCATGACTGAGCACAGTTTAGTCCGAATTTACCCCTGCTACATTCTGTTAAAATGTAATATAAAATGCATGTCATTTTAAAAAAAATTGAGCGGAAAATTGTCAATGTTTGTTTATAAAACTTCAAATAGAAAAGATATTTCAAAAATTTATTTTAAAAAGGTATAACAATAGCACGATCCAAGTTTAGTTATAAAGACCTTTTTTATTGGATATGTATTCCAATTTTCCCCGACGTGAAGTACTCATTCAACAACTGCATCATATCTCATGAATTTATTAATATGTTAATAAATCACATTAAATAATAAATTGTATCAAAATATTATGTCTAGTGAGGCATTCACTTTTTTTTCAAAAAATGATGGTTAATTAGAATTATTTTCTTTAAAAAAAATCTTCTGTATTTCGATAACGCTTACTTTTATCACACTTTGGCCCTTTCCACCCCTCCTGACATCCGCCTTGACACTGTCCTGTAACTCTGTCACATCTAACAGGGACTCCACAGTTAAGGCTACAAATATCCTGACAGTTGTACCCAAAACGTCCAATGGGACAAACTAAGAGGGAGAAAGATATAAGGATCAAAACATATCATTGATGCATTGGCCAATAAAGTTTTCTTTCATAATTGTTAGTTTTGTATGTCTAAAAAAATATGCTGCAATTTTTTTTAACAAAATAATAATTAAATACAAAAAACATTTCTTTTCAATTGCAAGGTATAAGAAATAAGAAAACAATCTTTTGGTTGAAAATTCCACGCAAAAAAAGAATTGTTTTTTTTTTTCATTTCTTAAATTTTATATGACCTGTACATGCGCAGACAAGATTGCAAGTGGATTTCAACATAGATAATTATTTAGAATTTCCTTTGCATCTTTTTTTTAAATCTTGTTGTCTATGTCATGGATGTGGAAATACCTTCTTTACACTTTTCTCCCTGAAATCCTCTGTCGCATCCATTTAAACATGTTCCATTGATATGATGACATTGTTTGAAATTTACACATGAGCCACATAAAATACTGCAATTTGCACCATAAGACAATGCATCACATTCTGCAAGATTCGGTATCAATGCTCATTACTAACAATGTACTAGTATTCTCTAGCATATGAAACAAAAATTAGGAAAAAAATGTGTATAAAATATTTTTATGAAGTAAATTAAACATAAATAACTCAGTAGTATTGCTTAAATATGTATCATTTTTTCATTGAATTACATTTAACAAGTTTTAATGGAAAAAGACAACCAATTAAATCGGAGAGTATAATAAATGCAAGCAAATCTATAATTTAAAAAAAACAAAACATTATGCTCTTCCCAAATGTTCATTAAAAAAAAAGAAATATAAGGTTTAAAATATAAGTCTATTTAAGAGAATGAATACCATTCTCACAGTATATTCCCTTCCATCCAGGGTAGCAACCAAACTTACAGCCACCAGTAAATCTGTCACAGCCTCCTTTACAGTTTGGGTTACAGAGCTCAACACAGTTCTTGCCGCTTCTACCAAATGGACAAGCTGCAAGAAGAATTGATTGGAATATTGTGAGTTTCTTGTAAAAGTATACTGTATAGACTGAATAGATGGAGAAATCCACGGTTTGTAATTTTCAAGCTGTCTTCTCTTCTGATGCCAAAAAGAGAGAAAAAACACACACGGAACTTAATGGAAATATTCAAAATGATAAGATCAAAGCAAGGGGTTTAGGGATAGTTACATGCCTATAAGTACTCAGGCAAAAGTGACACGAAATACCCAAAACTAAATCAGAACGAACAAATATCTCCAGACGTAACTAAACAATAAGCAAATCGTTGAGATTGAAACAATCAAACGACTTGCATAACTCGTTATCATTCAATGAATAGACTCCTTTTATTTCTAGAAATAAATATACCAGTATCCTTGAATCTTAAGGCATTTTTCGAAAATTATTTGATTTGAAAATTATTCATTTCCTTGAATTCAGGGAATCATGCATATTTTGAATATAAAACAATATTATCACAGATAATTCAATTTATGCCGCTATGAGAAATATATTTTATTTTGCACCTAATGATAATTCTGCATATCCCTGCGCAGTCTGCAGGATATGCGCCCTTATCGCAGCGCAATTATCATAGAACCTTTTATTGCGAAATCGCACCTTATTTTGCTTGACAGAGTTATCCAATCAAAATCCTTGATTTTGTTGCGCCATTTTTGTTAGTCTGGCAGTGCATTGAAGAAAAAAACCCACCACCCACCCTTTTGCCTTTTTGGGGTTTATGGTTTTATATTATTTTGCATTTTAGTCCAGATTTGTATTTTCCTAACTAACTTGTCATATGTTTCTTGATTGGCGCAATTGTTTGGACGCCTCCAAGGATATACTCATTTATATTATATTTTATGCATATTTACATGTACTCTGATATGTTCACTGCATGTAAATTTCTAGTCAGTCTCAGGGGGATCACACTTGTACCTTTCACCTGTGTACATGTAACCTGTATTGTTTAATATTAGATGATCCCCCTTCATGATTTGTTATACATTTTACCATATGTCATTAAATAAAATGACATATTCGACAAAACTGCATATCTGTGTTTGGTTGTTTTTCACTGCACTTTCAGGCTGATATTTCTCATAGGAGGCATAAATAATTATCACGCTGCAAGTTACATGCATGTCCCCACTATATATGTATATAACATACAAATGTATGATTGATTAGTGTTGTCACTAAAATTAATGTCAACAAGCACCAAAAGCTTATATTTTTTGAATTTATATTCCTGCATTACTTTTTGCTTTTCGGATATAAATCCCACTTTGTACAAAAAAGGAATAATACAACATCAAAAGACATACGTAATAAAATATAATTGTTCTCTGAAAAATCATATTACGAATGCATGAATGGAAATGATGAGTCTGGATAATCTTTTATCACATACTTAGTAATAAATACATCGAATCTGCAAAGTGTGATACTGGTGACATCACAATACCGCACATCAGGTACCGGTCCGAAAATCCATATCAGGTATCAGACCGTCACGAAGAAAAACCTTATTAAACCGGAAGTAACGTTTGTATTAAGTTTAAAAGTTGATTTTCTTGATTCTATTTAAACGTACATGTAAAATAATTCTTCAATGACATTTGCGGACTTAATTTTTCTTCAGTTGCCTACAATTGGCTCTATTAGATTTAATTTAAAGAAAAAGGTTATAAACATGCAAGAAACATTCTTCAATGAATGTATGTGAAATCGCATTTCAAACATATGATAAATAGAATACTACATACTAAAATCCATATCATATGGCACATCAGTCCTCGGGCCTCATATCATTCCTCGGGCCTTAGGCCCTCGGCCTAATATGGGGCCACTCGTGCTGACATGACATATATGATATGGATTTTAGTATGTGGTATTCTCTATTTAACGACTTATAAAATTTAATTACCGGAGATTTATACGTGTATGAAACAATTGCTTCAATTATACAAGACACGCAAGTTTAATGTTTTGTTTTACGTTCTTCGTAAGAATTTTGTAAAAAAGAATATTATGTAATATTTTACACAAGTTCCTAACGTAGATGCCATTGAAACTCCGTAATAACTTTGCATTGAAAAAAAAAACGTCTTGGAAATGAACAACGATTCTGCGGAAAGTAAAAATAAGAAAAGTTGTCGTAATACAAAAAAATGTATCTCACCTTCGTCACATGTATATCCTTGAGTACCGACGTCACATCCCTTTGGACAACTTCCGTTCACGTGATTACATTGTTCTCCATTACTACAGTTACCACAGGCCAAACTACATTCAAGGCCGTATGTATTATTATCACATTCTGAATAAAAAGAAGTAGTTTTCTAAATTTAATTAATTTGATCATAAGAATGCCTTTAGTTGCTGTAATATAAAAAAAAGAATATATAGTCTTTGGCATTATGTTTTTAAGTAAAAATTAGATGACAGCAAAGACGTTACTTTTTACATGAAGATAAATCCGTCAGTCTTAAGAGATTGAATCGATTCAGTTCCTTCGAATTTAATGGTTAGTATAGTACAGAATCAGTAATTAGGTTAAAATTATATTAAAGCTTGCTTTTTTATGATGGGAATCAGTGGCTTTTACAAAAGAATATAATGATCTGAAATACAGTATGCGTACTTTTTTCAACGGGGTCTTAATTCCGCGTAATCTCGATTTGTGTTTAATCCGTACTTTTTTCAACGGGGTCTTAATTCCGCGTAATCTCGATTTGTGTTTAATCCGTGGGTAAATTATTACGTGGATTTTCTAGATTGTCACGATATGCCTTGCATTTATTTTAAGTACGCTTAGACAAATTTCAGGGGAAAATTTGTGACCGCGAACATAGTGTAAATTAATTCCACGCGGAAAAAAAACATTTCTACAGTAATAAGGAATGCTATCTCCCTCTCTTTCGCTCACTCTCATACACCCTCACACAAACCCTCCAGCACATCCACCCACAACCACACACGTATATACACACATGCAAGAACAAACACGGGCTATACGTACGTTGTTTACATCGTGGACCTTTGAAACCAGCAATACATCCCAGACACGATCCACTTACAATGTTACAATGAGTCTCCTGACAATGTTTTGGACATGGTAAATTACAATCAATTCCATAAAATCCAGGGGTAGCGCATCCTAAGAGAAAATCAAATGATGAAATTGGATAGTTATATTAACTCCCTTGCATATCCCATTCATATATGAATTTATTATTATTATCGAGTACTTTTTTGATTCAATGAGAATAACGAGAATTACAAGTCATGGCGTCAAATATGTTCATCATTGTCATCCAGTTTTAATTCTAGGAAAGCAATAACAAATCAATTCTTAATAAGACAAATAATAAGAAATTCTATGTTTTTCTACTTGAAATAAATAGCTGTCATCAAAATTAACTGCTTGTGAATGAAATTTGGGTTTTATATATTCTATTGGTTATTTGTTAAAACTTAATGAAGGTTCCAAAAATAAAAATCATTTATAAAAATGAATTAATAGATAGATTGTCGATGCTGGACACCGAGGTATATTTCATGACATCGCTTGGCAAAAAAAGAGGAAGCTCAAAAACGTGAGAGGGGGGAAAATTGGGCCCATGTGCGTATTACTGGGGTATTCTACAGTAAATAAGGGCATCTGCAATTAATTAAAAAAAAAAAAAAAAAAACTTTTTATCAATCATTTGGACCTAAAATGTAAATAAGTTTTATTAAATGTAACAATGCATAATTTTTTTTTCCTTTGAAATATGGTTCTACTAGGTGGGACATGTAACTATATCACTGCTTGGGCGAATTGTATTCAGTTTTCTTACCATATACCTCAACTTCACATAGACTGCTAAAGGCAAACGTAGAATATCCTTCAGGGTAGGTAACTCCTGGGAGTCTCTCATTGTAGTAGATGACATACCGACCATGTTTTATACATTCTAGGGTAGTAACATTCGGTACTGTAGCTCTAGTGTAGTCATTGTCTTTGAAACAGAGAATTCCGTCATCTTTGTTGGTTGTGTTGGATAAGTAAACAGAAAAACCAAGGACTCTACCAGTATAGCCATGGCTTGAATCTAGAGGAATTTCAATACTATTTCAGAGTTGTCAAAATATCGAAAGATTAGACATCAGTCAAAAAATCTTGGGAGTCTTAAAAATAGTTTAGAATTAAAGTTCTATAAATTAATAATAGTTCATTTAATTTATATTGTTACTCTATATATCCCAAATAGTAGCTCGAAATAAAAACACTGCGGTCTAACGTAATTTTTTTTGTGTTTTAGTCTAGAAAAAAAAACTTTCATTGAAAGCTAATTATAAAAAATAAGATTTATGATAGATGATACTCAACCTCCAAATCCTATGAAGCAATATATACATGTACCTTTATTAGCATCGGAAACATTAAAACCGCAAGTTATTCTTCACCTACACAGTTATTAATTATGAAGTCATATGCTAACTGACGTTTTATATACATGTATCTATTGTTCGCATATTTTTAATTAATCTGCAGCAAAGTTAAGCTATGACATGCATTTTTTTGTATTTCGTTGAATTCCAAATATCATGATAAAACGATCTATTGGTCGCTGTGTTAATTAACGTTATATTTGACGTTATATTTGAAAGTGGACATAGTTTGTGAGATGATGATCCAGGTAGTTTTTGATCAATGAAAATGTCCTTTGTATTCAAATAAAATATCAGTTGTAGATAAATAAAGGGTCTCTAAGTTGGATGGGATATTTGATCTGCAACCATTATTATACTCTATTCTCTGACCTTCTTTATGGGCGCCGTCATGTTTGATCACAGGGTTTGACGCCATGAAGGTACTGACAACGTCATAATTAGGTCAAACCCCATGCAAAACTTCTCTCCGTTGTTTGTCAATTTAGAGGCATAATACAAAAACAAACGAGCGTTTATGACGTTAAAATTATAAGGTGATCTGTAAAGCCATTTTAAAAAATAGATATGAAAAAACAAATGCAAACAAATATATTAAAACTTTTTATTTTGCATGCATTTATTTTTGCGGCGATTTTTTTTTTCAGTTTATTCATACGCTGTACGTGTTTAGTTATTTAGAATTTAGTGGCCCTTTTGGGATAAGACACAAACAAACAAGTTTAGCATGTTTAAAGAGGGCAAATGGACGATTTATTTCCCGTTCTCATTAGTAAATCATACTACCTTTTCTCTCCTCCTTTTTTCACATTTCAGTAAGCATCTAAAAGAAAGGCCCATCATTGTTATGATTTTTTGTTTGCGCTGAAAAGTGTCAATATTTCTACCTGTCGATTTAACTGCGTGTATTGTTAAGAGATTTTTTAAAATTATCATTTTTTTTCTAAGCATGACACGGGGCACACGCCATCATTGGTTGGGTATTTTCATTTATCCCTGGCATCTAATAAATCTCTTATGATTTTTAGGTCTGCGTATGCACTGCTTTCAATTTGAATTGTCTGAAATGACCTTGAGTATGATTATTGTTTGTTACCTCTGAATTTCTCTGATGTTTACAAAATAGCAGAAAGGCCAAACAGAAGGAAACAAGTACGTGATATGACCGTGTTAGCAATTAATGGTATGCATCTCTGAAGATTAAATGAAAATGAATAATGATATAATTAAAAAAAAAGCTATCGGTGTATAGAGTACCCCATTGGACATTATCTGTCCTAAAGTAAAATGTGATGTGATGGATACTGAGCACTTCTCCTAGATCCACTCTCCAGGTTGCAGTTGTTTTATCATTGGCAGATATTGCACATTGTCCTCCAGGCGCTGACCGGTCTGTATACCGTCCATCTACCGCTTTCTCCGCTCCCCAGTCCACATTGGGGTAAGGATACTGCTGCCATGCAAGCTTGTTTAATGCTACGTTTTCTAAAAATAGATTGAAAATTTACCTTCGTTGAAAATTTAAATATTATCCACTAAAGGATTTAATTTATTTCCTATATAAGCACGATATAAGCAGAATTTATAAGACAAAGTTTAATTTTGGAATTATAATTAAAGGTGCTGAGATCTCTAAAATTGAATATAGAAAAAATTAACTGCCTTTTAATTGTTTTAACATTTTAATAGGCATTTGAAAATCGCTTATAATTACTACTCTCCAAAGAAAAAAAAAACAATTTTTACCGAGAAATTGCTTATGCACCTCGTCAAAAATTCCGCGTAGACGTTGTATATTATCAAAAATAGTACAACGTATTGGAGAACATCCAAATAGTGCATGTATGTAAAAACTGTGTTCGTTATATACGTATATGATTATGTATATCAGCTTATTCTTTTTTCCCATTATTTTTTTTTCAGTATAAATAGTAGTAATTGTTATCTTGAATCTGTTAAATTTTAAGTTATTTTTATATCTGTGTCGATAAAATTGATGTTTGGGTCGACTTGAAAGCTTAACAGAACTGGAAGATCAGTTGGACTTTTTGATATCATTTTTTCCCGTCATTCTTCGACCGTCCGTCTTCATATTTTGTCACATTTTACCATCTCCTCAAGAAATGCAAAACCATTTCAAAAATACCGTCCGGAAAGGATAGCATTTCAAATAGTCAGAATGTATAAATAAACGACCTTGAACTTTGACTTCTTGACCTGAAAATCAATCGGGGTCTTCCTTAGGCCACAGGGAGTTGTTATGTCAAATTTCATTGCACAAGCTCAAAGGGCTCTCGAGATATCGTGTGGAAACGAAAGTGTTACAGACAGACAGAAAGACGGACAGACAGACCGACAGACGGACAGACGTACAGACCTTAATTAATATCCACCATTTTTTTAAGTTGGGGACAATAAAACAAACGGGCTGGGATACTTTAAGAGGGGTTAGAGGAGTCCTAGGGAGTTTTGGTATAAAATTACATTGCAAAAGCTCAAAATCTTCTTGAAATATTGCCAGGAAAGGATAGTGTTACACACAGGCAGAATGTATAAATTTACGGCGTTGAACTTTGACCTTTTGACTTGAAAATAATTAGGGGCCTTCCTTAGGCCACAGGGAGTTGTAACTTGAGATATCGTGTGGAAACAAAAGCGTTACAGACAGGCAGAAAGACGGACGGACGGACAGACAGACCCAAATTGATATTCCCCACTTTTCAAGCGGGGGAGAAAAATGCAGTTCATATTGCTTTAAATAGTGTAAGTTGAAGTTTCCTCAAATCACGACTCCTGGGGGTAGATTTGAAAGATCAGTTTTGTATGGGATAACAAAGTAAAAAAAAAATGTTGCATTAGATAGAAAGTAAAAGGTTTGAAATTTAGGACTGCACTACCTGCGCAGATTGATGAAACATAGGGTTTCTTTAAACGTTTGTTTCCAATTAAAAAGACAAAATCATAATGATGCAAGTACATCTTACCATAAGCAGATATATGTATACTTCTTTCGGTCAATAGTACTCCACTTACACAAAAATACAGTACAATGTGACTTTTCATTCCGTTTTATATGTAATTCAGGAAGTAAATTCTAGACAATTACCTATAGCTGTTATAACATTGATGTCACGATTGAATAAGCAAGGTGTGACATCTCATGATTTAAAAAAAAAACAGGACTTGGCATGATTTATTTATTTAAAGTACATTAATGAAATCATTCAACAGGTTTAAATGGTTTCTTGGGGGTATGAAATGGAAGAAATGTTTTTTTTCTTATGGTTGAGCTTATGTTATGGTGGTGCATGGGTGTATCTAAACTATAAAATTATCTTCCAATAGCGTAGAGTTTTTCATATATAAATTTGATTTTTTAAGCAAAATTGCGAAACCTCTGTTAAATTCCCTTTTTCATCTCCTGTTCAAAATTACGAATATTTATAAATGATAAACATATGATCAAAGTTTCAGAAGAAGTTATTTACGTTAATGTATATAAGCTAAAATATCTTCAAATCTATATTTTTTGAAGCAAGATTTATGTTTGCTTCAATTTAATGCTGATCAATTTACAAGAAAATGGTTCTATAAATTTTATACCTGGTATTAATTGTTTTTAATATATGACTTACTATGTTTGTTACATTTGACACATCATTGCAAAGGTTTCTTTTTTCTATAGCAAATAATTTCATATAATCATTTGTGAATGATAAATTTATCATTCGCCAATGATAGGACTACTGTGGTTAGAAGAAAAAAAAATTTTCTCATCAGATGTGATTAACTAACGACTGTATTTAAATACGAGGGTTGATCCAAAAGTAATGTCACAACTTTGATAAAATTGCTATAAATCTACGTAAAGCAAGACCATTACACATAATGGAAGCTTTATCTATTTCATATGAGACTCGAAAAATTCAAAGGAATATGATGTATACTTTCCGAAATATCTTATTATAAACAGTGTGTGTTAATGGTAGTCGCCGCACCGACATATAACGTCATATGACGGATACGCATCGACATATTTTAAAGCGTTTTCCCTCCGTTTCATTTAAGATATTTGTGATTCGCAAATTTACTTTCACCAATTTCACTTTCTTAAAGAATTCTTGGTACCATTATACACCCATTCTTTTCATAATTGAGTCCTATGTCATTTTTTTTAACAGTACCATAAGAGAAACTTAAAATAATCACGTCACTCTATACTTCTGTCTTTTTTGACAACGTCAGACACCATTGAAAGTTTCTTTCCAATCTCCTATCTTTCGGTCTTCTTGTCCTCTGCTAATCATTCAGTGACCAATCACCGGCCCAAAATTGCTGAAGCCATCCATTAAGGAGTCTCTTATTTACATTCTCTATTCTGTAAACCTGATTAATAAACGTAACTGTCGCTTGTGATGATTCCTATAAAAATGCATTAGAACTCATCGACCCGTTTTTCCCACTTTGACAATCTCTTTGTAGAATTCAACGGAGTAAAACCACAATCTTTATGATCACAAATACTAATGCAGTCAATTAATTTTCAATTAAAGACTAAAAAATGACGAGAAGTGTGTGTGTTTTTTTAAAGGCTTATTATGTGCTTTTCAGAATCTTTTTAATGTGTTTGTCTTTTTCATTCTAAGAAAAATAAATTCAAATAAACATTATTAAATTAAAATCTTAATGTTAATTATATTCATATTTAAGAATCTTTTGTTCTATTGTATTTAATAATGTGACGCCAAATATAAAAAAAATGTGGACACTGTGACATTACTTTTGGATCAACCCTCGTGACTTTAGCTTTCATTCTAAGTATAAGTATTTAAGACTCAACATTGATGTATTGCATTATCACATATGTGATTTAAAAAAAAATATATACTAGTACCTAAATACAATGTTTTCTCTATTATTCCATTTTCTTTTTCATTTGACTTTAACTTGCTCATATGATCAAGTATATATCAGCATAATTAAATCCTGTTACAAATAATAGATAGAAGAAATGCATATTATCCTAATGTTTATTTAAAATGAAAAAAAAATCGAACAATTTAAGTTTCGACATTAGACAGCTACAATGACTTCATTGATGTTTCTGTAAGAAAAAAAGCACGATTCTTTGGCTCCTATATGCATATGTATTGTTATAATTTGTATTAAGGTACTTCTGATAATAACTTAGATATTGATTTCTCTTATGTTAAAACAAATAAGACATTTCTTTGTATATTGAAAATTTAAGAAATGAAGTCTTTAATAGGTATAAAATATGTAGAGACAACTAACTAAGTGCACTAATTCTGTGTTTTAATAGAAGATAAAAAGTATCGACGTTTAACACCAAATGGTATAAAAAATCAAATACATTAGCAAAACAGCATAATACTCAATCTGTACCTGATAAATTGTTTAAAGTAATTTGCAATACAATATTCTAGACTTAATTATCATTTTATAATAAAATACACATTATAAGATCATTTTTTAAATCATTTATTTATCCATTTAACCAACAAGCTGCTGTACATTAATGAGCACTGCCTGGTCTATAAATAAGACCTTTTTCTTTATCTCAGTGTGTGTTTTTCTCTTCCATCAAATGATCATTATCACGGTCGTTTGGTGAATGGAACAAAAGTCTGACAGTGTTTGATCATTTATTTGAAATTTCATACTTAAACATCAACACAGTTTCCATGTTAAACATGAAACCATGAAACCTGTTTCCTCATTATTTCAAAATGGTGACTTTGCCATACTTTTCAGCCTTTGAAATGTTATTGATGAAATTTTGCAATTTGATAAATAAAACTTAATATGTTCTTCGCCGTTTTGTATGTTCTTCTTTACTTCACGTGCATAAGTCATAGTTGTATACAGGCTAATTTTTCCCGCTGCTTAATGACTTCATCACATGTGAGGGAAATTAAAATGAGGCAAATTCAAGCAACGCAGTATGACTTCTTGAACAAGACTTAGACTTGGCAAATATTCAAGCAGGCAATATTGTTTGTAAGTCTATATGTGCTAAAATAGCATTGGGCGAAAATTCAGTATGAGTGAAAATTTTGGCGAGGCGCAAATTTATCGATTTTCTGAAAAAAATGTAGTTTTTTTATATTTTCAGCAAGAAGCACTTTTAGCGATATTTAAAAGCTAACTTAAAAGCCTATTGCAGCTAAAATGCATTTAATTTTAGTGATATTCTATTTTAGAGATCTCAGCAACCTCGATAAAAATGTCAAAATTAATTTCTCGCTAAAAATTCTGATTGTTCGTTTACCATTGTACAGTGTATATCCCAACTTTCATTTACAAAAGAAACTAAAATTATTTGTTAAAAGGATTAATAAAGTAAGTAAATGACACGGGTAATACAAAGGATTGCCTGCATGTTAACTCTAATGTAGTTTGTCATAAAGAGAGGGTTGACTTAATTAACCGAGTTCTTGATATCCGACATTGTCTTCGACATTGTCATAAATCTGTGTTTTAGAAGTTCTGTGATCTGTAGACAGACTCATTTGACCCGGCTTATCATAAAGCTCTGTGTTAGGCACAGCGTATACTGTGGACAACTGGTTCGTGTTTTTCATTACTTGATGCTGTCTTTTGTAAAACCTACAATAAAACAAAATCGTGCACATAAGAATGATATTAAAAATAGAAACTAACCACCTTAAATATCATAAGCAACATTGATTATATGTGTTGGATAAAATGAAAACTCACCAGATGACGAAAAAAATATTTAAAGCCAGGCTCAAGCAAAGAATTGTTATAATTCCGTAAAGAGATGGATCACACTGTCTGCTTGCCTCAACATCTGAATATTTTGTAACTGTAAGAAAAAATAAAAACATTTAATCACATATTTTATCCAATTGATTGATTGATTATATATTGTTTAACGTCCCACTCAAGAAATTTCATTCATTTGGAGATGTCACTGTTTGCCGGTGAAGGGCTTCAATATTAGGCCTATACTCGGCACTCAGGGCCATGAGCAGTAAGGGTTGTTTAACGTGCCAATGACACAGGACCTACCGGTACGTTTTTAAGGTTATATCCGAAATACCCGTGATGTTCACTTCTAGTGCAGAGCGCTTGGCCAAGAAATAGCCACTACCTACGTTTATGTCTTAGGTTTGACGCAGTGTCGCTAATGATAAGCTAACCCGGGCCTCTCGATCACGAAGAGAACTCTATACCATAAGGCTACCGTGTTATTTTATACGAAATCTAACTTGAAAACTTTGAATGGTCTCGAGAATTTAAAGAAAGTAGTTTCATAAATTCTCATGACAGCAAAATCTCAATTATTTCAGTTTGATATTTGTGAACAGCTATCGCAGGAGATTTTCAATGCGCTTGTTACCCAAGTCGTACACTTTGTAAACCGATGCTCAGCTTAATAGTCATAAAGTCAGAGCATGATTATTTACTATTTTTCTTTATCTCATGTTGTATGAAACATATGGAGATAACGAACAATATTCGTGATTTAAAGTCTGTAAAGCAATACAAAGTAAGAGCAGAGCAAACACGAATTTTAAATATCAAAGGTGGGATCAGGTGCCATGGAGGAGTGAGTGTCCCATGCCAACCAGTTTGTTGTATTATATTCAAAATCTTACGGAAAAGTAATTTCTACCCCATATTTTCTAATGGAAATGAAATTCTTAAAAATGTTTTATTAACCATATTTCCTCAAATTTTGGTCTCTATGCTTTGATAAAAATTAACTTTTTTTGATATTTTTATCTTTCTTTTTCGTACATGAAACAATAAATAATAGAAAAAAATACGAAGATATAGCTTTCAGGAAAGATTTCAAATAGATATAAAATAGCTTTGAGGAAAGGTACTTATCGTTCACAGCATTATACTTTCAAGTTTTTGTTTTTCAAATTTTAAATAAGAAAAAAAATATGTTTTCGTTTCTCGGTACTTTAAATGCAATTTAATATAACAAAGAAAAACATTAGTATGTCCTTCTTACAATTTGAAACAGAAAGAAAGAAAACTAACTGAAACCAAAAATAAAATACCCTGCTCGCAGAAAGCTCCCTTCCATCCTGCACGACATCCAAACTCACAGACACAAGTGAATCTGTTACAGCCTCTACAGTTTGGTTTACAGAACTCATCACAATTCTTTCCGTATCTACCACATGGACAAGCTGTAACAGAAAAGTTTATTGTAATAGTATGAATGTGTGGTCAAAAAGGGGGCTTATATGTATGGTGTCTGCATATTTCTTTTAGTTTTATCATTTCTTTTATTATATACCGTATTTGTCACACAATACAGAATGTTGCATCCCTGATATGAACACAGGTTAGCGCCCTATATTATACACGCTATGGAAACACCCTTTATTTCACCCTTTTTCAGACCCTTTAATTCCTTTTTCCGGAACATATCTGTACTTTTCATTTACTATCATATTCAATATAACCCTCGGCCAATGACATTCCTCTGGTCTTCGGCCGTCGGGTTGATATTGGAGTTTTGGGGTTAATATGGGACTTGATACAGATTTTGCCATGCATTATTTTCTTTTTATTTAACATCAAATGTAAGTAATAATGTATATTTTCTTTAACATTGCATTTCTACTTGCAAACATTACTCAGCTATGCTAAGAAAGGTCAGAGTTCACCATCCTGGTACACCGCATCAGAAGTTAATTTTGACGTCATGGAAATTTAACAAGCCACAAAAATTCATTGGCATAAATAACAACTCGAATTTATTTATTTTATCAATTATTTATAAAATTTTGTAAGTTTCGATACTTGATAGCGATACAGTCGAGTAATAGAAGAAAGTATTTCGTCAAATATGACGTCATCAGCCCTGACATGACGCAGAACATTTGATCTAGAGTATTAGATTTACATGTTTGATAATTACAAGAATGCTAAAATATATATAACATCACCGCTAATATTTAAATCTAATCATTAAAACTAAAAGAAATAACTTGTCATATAAAATTTGTATAGAATATTAATTTATTTCGTAGCATTAGAGTTGCACATGAACAAGGAATGTAGAGAATATCGCTCAAACGATAAATCTATTTGTTAACTACATCAAAAAAGCAAGGGCATAGACTATTTTGTTTAAGCTGAAATTTGGAATATTTATTGCTTATATAGTGTATATTTTGGGCTGATCCTGGTCAACATAACATTATTTTTGTTTATAAACAGAATTTGAGCGAAGTGGATATTTTTAACTATTATCAGCACTTTCGGCAAACTTTTCAGTACTTCTCAAAAAGCACACACTGGCTCCTAGCACTTTTTTGGTAGAAAAAAAAATATGCATCTTTTAAAGTGTACATTTTTTTTTTCGTGGAAATTAAGCATATGCCGTTGCACTATCCTCATTTCCTACATTCAGCGTAACGATTCTATTTTCATAAAAGTCGTGCTGATACATGCGATATAACTGGTAATAAATACGGCCCAGTCCTATCTATTATGGATGGCTATATTGCATTTTCTACATGTGTTCAGTTGCTTTGTTACATTTTTTAAAAGAAGTAATACATATTAAAACGCTGCTAAGGTCTGATTTTCCATATCGGTCCTTAAAATAGCTGATAAAGACATAGAGGAAACTAGATCAAGAAGAAATCTTAAGATGTAATATCCAACTTTTTATCTCCATTGAAATATAATTATTCATTCCATGAAAATTACTCCCGAATGGAAAAAACAGGCCTATTAAAAGTTATCTATTTATAATTATTTAGTCATTTCTCATAGTTATCAAATTGCTGATAAATAGAAGATTTGCGATGAGGATATATGTTTTTTTTTTCATTTATTCATTTTGATCATGATGAAAATGTTCAATAATATTTCATTGTTCGTAATTTATCAGAATTTGGTCATTAAACATGTTTCCTAATGCATTTAAACATAAATTTCTTAGCATAAGTGCCATTTATCTCTTTAATAACTTTTTTTTAATGTTCACCTTTAAAACCGATTAAGGAAACACACAAAACTTCTGATGAAAGTGCAAGTAAAAAAATGAATCGTTTCTAACAAAATTATTTCTCACCTTCGTTACACGTAAATCCATGAACACCTACGTCACATCCTTTGGAACAACTTCCGTTCACGTTATTACATTGTTCGTCATCACTACAGTTACCGCAGGTCATGTTACACTCAGGTCCGTACCTTTTATTATCACATTCTAAAAATCATATTTCCTTGAATAGTTATCTAATTATAAACAATTGAAAAAGAAAAATAAAGGCAATTGTTGTTTTGCAAAAGCTTTTAGAAAAAAAAATGGATATGATGTATGACAACAAAGGCGACACTCTTAAGATATATCAAATTCATTATACATTATACGACATTTACGTGACCCATCGTGTTCATTCAGATATCACTGTATAGGTCAATATTATTTTTTTCACCTATAAAGTTAAACGGTATTTACGGGATCTACAGAGGACTTTGTTTGCTAAAAGAGAACTGAAAGTGTTACTGGAGTAAACAACACGATCAAATTAAATCCCACCCTCTCTCTCTCTCTCTCCGTTAATATATACGTACGCTCCTCACATCGTGGACCTTTGAAACCTTTAGTGCATCCCATACATGATCCACTTTCAATGTTACAACGACCCTCTTTACAGTTGGTTGGACACGGTAAATTACAATTTTCCCCATAAAACATTGAGTTAGGGCATCCTAAGAAAAGAAATTAAATAATAATACTCATATAACCCCCTCTGTATATACTTCCAACAACCTTTAAAATATGAATTATGAAAAATCTTAGATTATTTTTTTCTGCACATTTACAACGTATTAACATTATTAAAACAACAAGGCAAAAAAAAAAAAATAAATAAAAGAAAATTCAGAAGTTTATAAACTGTTAATCTGTAGAAGTTTACATATTGGTTTGCCATCGATATTTACCGTAGTAAATTTTTTTTATTTTATTTATTAATATCACTGGTTGGTATTTGAAAATTGCGTTACAATCATCCATTGCTATGGTATTTTGAACAAGATTGATTTAGGGTGGTTATTTTAATTTAATCTGTGCATGTAAACAGTTCAGAATTTTCCTTGTTCTTGTGTTGATATCAATTAAAATCCGTCTTCTTCATTGTATTCAATGAGAAAAAAACTTTTTTTTTATTTTTCCCTAAAAACCGTCGCCTGTTTGGCGCAGTGGTTTGAGTGTCTGCTCTAGAGTTGCAAAGAAAGGAGTCAATCCTTAAGTCTCAGGTTTGAATCCCATTGCGGGACATGGAAACCGGTCCCGTGTCGCAGTAGGTGCTGGCACGAAAAGGATCCCTCACTGCTCAATGGCCCTGAGTGTCGAATATAGGACAAAATTTTTAGCTATCCACCGGCAAGTGGTGGCGTCTCCATATGAGTGGAAAATTCTCGAGAGGGACGTTAAACAATATACAATCAATCAACCCTTAAAAAAATAAGACAGCACTATTTATAACTGCAAATACAAGCAATAAAGGTATCTACTAGAAGGAAAATAAAGAAAATGATTGCTCTCTCAGTAAATGCATTCTTCGGGCCTTCCTTTCTTTTATTTTTTCCCTTAAAACAGAAGTCTCCTTGGGTGTGGTACCTGAATACACCAATCCTTGTAATACTCGTACCATAAACTTCAAGTTCACAGAGCTCGTTGTAGGCGTACGTTGAATATCCAACGGGGTAAGTGACTTCTTGGAGTCTTTCATTGTAGTAGACAACGTATCGTCCATGATTTACACATTCTATAGTTACATTATCCGGAATAGTGGCCCGAGTGTAGTTTGTATCCTTGAAGCACAGGATTCCGTCGTCTTTTTTGGTAGTGTTTGATATGTAAACAGAGAATCCAAGGAATCGGGGTACGAGAAAGTTGCTTGCATCTGTTGAAATATTCAAACAATTGTTATGTATAAGATAAATATTGATATGATATTGTGAAAACCATTTAAAAAGTCCATTGCAATTAAGTTTGGGATGTTTTGGAACCTAACAAATTGAAAAAGAAAAGTTTATTAGAAATTGACCTGCGCCAAAAAGTTTAACCTGTTCACAAATCATGAAAATGCCTTACATATCCAATATCCATAATTTACTATAGTCATCTCAAATTCACTTACTAACAAAGTTTACACATATTTTAAACCAAAGTTTTCATGTAAATTTACATGTAAATAAGAACAATTTCATATGGATTTCAGATTGTTATATGATATAATTCTTTTTCATAAATGCGCATTTTTATAGTAGATAGAAATATTATTTGTATATTTACATATCTTCTACAAATTAAACATAATTGGTATTGATTTGCAGAAATTATTATCTTTAAAGCCTAAAAACAGTTAAATTGTAAAGTTTCATTGTAAATCAAAGAATCCAGTTATTTTCTATAATAATTATGAAAAACTATAGCTAACCATTGTAAATGTTTGTGAGGAGATGAGTGAATGCAAAATACAATTACTCGATGATGAATTTCAAGTTAATTTAAATCAAGGAATGCATTGTAGAAAACTTTCTTAATTCTTAGATCTTTCCCTTTAAGCAGAGTGGCCAAAAAAATGAATAAAATAAGCACTCTTTCACATGTTTGTGAATTCGACAATTGTAATGTCTTGGTCTTTAAAAAGTACTTCATATGTATAAGTATATATCAATAAAAGAAAATTATATGTATTAACCAATTTAAACTATTTTACGTTACCCTATGCCCTATTGTCTGTCCTGTAGTATATCCTTATATGGTGTATACTGAGTACCCCTCCTAGATCTACCCGCCAGGTTGCAGTTCTTTGATTATTGTCTGATATTGTACACTGTCCTCCATCGGCAGACCTGTCTGTAAACAGCCCATCCACAGCTTTATCGGCTCCCCATGGCCGTCCACCATACGAATACTGGTGCCATGCAGTCTGGTTTATTGCTATATTCTCTGTAAGCAGGATGGAGAAAATATACTGTAGCAGAAATTGTTTATTTTTTCTATTCTTGTTTTCTCTTCATATTATGCATTCATCAGAACCAGAGAATTGTAATTTATAGTAGATATACTCTGACAACATTTCTGCTTTTTAAAAAAATCCTAACAACAGCATCTGTCTTCATCCCATCTGTATTATCTTGAAATAAAATGAATGTAGTTTTTAAAAAAACTTTTCTTACTCAGTAAAGTCTTTTATTGTTCTAAAAAAAGTTCCACTAAGTTAATGATTAATTGTAAGGAAAGCGTTCTCAATAATTTATAAAATAATCGGGATTTAATAATGTTCAAAATCATAGCAACATATTCGGTGAAACTTTCAACAATGTAAACAATACGAATATGTTTAGATATAGTGTTTATAGGACTACAGCAAAACTCGGTTATAACGAAGTCGCATGGACCTTTGAAATTACTTCGGTATATCCGTTATTCGTTATAACCGTGTAAGAAATTCATTAAAAATTTATATAGCTGGGTATCCAAAATGACTTCGCTATATCCGTGAATTCGCAATATCCGTGTTCGTACTAAACGAGTTTACTTTACTTTTCTTAAAAGTGCACGGGTAGTTACAAAACCGAAGACCTCCGAAATCTCCGAAAAAGCAATAAAAAAATCCATTTCTTTTCAGGCGAGGGAGCTAAAGATCTGCAGCTTCACCAAATTCTGTAGCTCGCTTAAAAATACATCAATTTCCATTTTTCACCCTCTCTCTCTCCCTCTTATTCCCTGTGTTTGTGTGTGTGGTTCTCTTCCTTCAAGATCCAAGAAAAAGTTCATAACAGTATATCAGCGACAAAATTTGCGGATGTTCACGGTACATAATATTACGAAAGCCCAGAAGGCTCATTCGAGATTCGAGTTTCCAAATACGAGATTCGAAATTCGAGATTCAAAATTCGAAATTCGAGATTCAAAATTCGAGTTTCGAGATTCAAGATCCAAACGAACCAATCAAAAGCGGGTTCAACATTTGATTATTTCCCTTTATTATGTTTTTACTATCAAGAAATAGTTCAGTATAATTATATCAAATGGGTCATTTGATTAAATTACAATGCAAGAAAAAGTGTTATATATATTAGAGGGAAATTTAAATAATTAATGGAATTTTGATCAGCAAAAAATATTTTTATTTATATTATAGATCCTTAAATATTAAAATGGATTTCATATATCAGGAGTATATATATTTTTGAATTGTCTACTAAACTTAATTTTTATGCATATCCTGTGTTAGGAAAACCACAGGTACTTGTGAAAGGTACCACCCCCCTCCCCCCTCGATATTCAACCCTAGGGCTTATTGGACATTTTTTTTTCACAAGTTTTATTTATTAAACTTATTCATCATGTATACAATAACAAAAAATTGTAAAATCCCCAAAATAATCGCTCAACACCCCCCCTCCCCCCAAATACCCACTATACATTATAAGAGAAGGATATGCCACTCCAGTCTGTTTACGTTGTACCCCCACTGGTGTTAAATGCATTTATATATGTCGATTCACACTGTCTCTACATATACAATGTATTTCCAGGGGCGGATCCAGGAATTGAAGTTAGGGGGGCGCCAGATTCAGGCAGGGGGTCTGGGGGCCGCCTTGAGGCCCCCAGTAGGTCCAGGGCAAAGCCCTGGTGGGGGCCCAGGGGGCGAAGGCCCCGGAAGCTCTTGGATTCTAGAGGTTTTGTAGGGTAAAAATGAGGTCTACCGAGTAGACATTTAAAACATTTTCTCGACAAACTATGTTTTATGCTAACTTGGACAATTTTAAGAAGGCGCGCGCCGGGTGCGCCCCCCCCCCTTAAATCTGCCACTGATTTCTGTCTTAGTCCATGCTATCGGACTGACTCTGCATCACGTAATAATCCCACATTTTTTCCGTAAACAGCTTTCTTTCTTGTAAAGTGGGGTAATAAATAGTGTTTTTTTGTTTTGTTTTTTTGGTTGAGCGATTATTCTGGGGGTTTTAAGCCAGCGATTTTTTTCCTATTGTAAGGCTACACATAACAGAGAAATAAGCCCCGGGGTTCAATATCAAGGGGGTGGGGGGGTCTTGTCCACACGTACCTGTGTTTTTCTAAAAATTAAGACAAGAAACATGTATTGACGTAAGCGTCAAAAATAGGCCGCAAACCAATTAATGTTCCTCTTATGAAGCAACTAAAGACTATGGTGGTCTGTTTTTAAAATATCTTATATTTATCTTTTAATATATATCCTCGTGATATTAAAAGCTTGTGCTCTACATTGCATGATTTTCTTAATTATATAATGCATGTTCAGTATTAACCCCTGGTAGTCTGCGTCAACAACTTTTGAACCGTGGGCCTGTATGGCATTTACATTAAAAGTTTAAAACTAAAATTAAATGTAATCTACAACTAGATATGTAGTGTAGTTTAATTTAATAAAAATGCAGCAAATATGTTGGTATCCTTGCTCTCTCTTAGAGGAAAAAACTAAACTCCCTCTAGATCCGCCACTTCATTTCTTCTCTTTGAGTTGTAGCGGGAAAATTCTTGGCACATTGTAAAACGTGCATTATCCTCGTCTGCTAAGGGCCAAATCTTGTAATATTTTGTAGCCTGCTAAGTCTTTTAATGAATTTACATTTAACCATATTTTTCAAAATGTTTATATGTGTACATATGTACACGTCATTTTAAAATAAATACGTACAACAAATCCCGTTTGAATAGAGAAAGTAAAATTGTGTAATATACATAACGCGGTCTTTGATTTAGACTACGCCCAACACATTCTTAATTTTCTCCGCACTTCAAACATATCTAAATTTCTAAGTCAGTATTGGATGAATTATTTACCTCATTCTTCATAAGAATTTTTAATTTTATGTTTATTGTGCGTTTTTCTTTAACCTTAAGACCGTCTTTTTAATATACCATTATATTAATGTTAAATATTTTTTATTTAAATTGTTTTAACTCCGCAGAAACGCACAGCGACTTCGAACTTTCATATCATATAACCGACCATCTCCTGGCGGCCGGTAATTTGTCTTCAATACAAAAATATAATTATATACTCCTGATATATGTAATCTATTTAATATTTAAGAATCTATAATATAATTTGAAATATTCATTGCGGATCAAAAATCCATTCATTATTTAAATTTCCATCTAATATATATAACACTTTTTCTTGCATTGTAATTTAATGAAATGACCCATTTGATATAATTATATTGAATTATTTCTTGATAGTAAAAACATAATAAAGGGAAATAATCAAATGTTGAACCCGCTTTTGATTGGTTCGTTTGGATCTTGAATCTCGAAACTCGAATTTTGAATCTCGAATTTCGAATTTTGAATCTCGAATTTCGAATCTCGTATTTGGAAACTCGAATCTCGAATGAGCCTTCTGGGCTTTCGTATAATATAGACTACGTTAGAATATGCTGATGACTGTGTATTTCGTCCGCAATTCTTCAAGAAGGAAACATCTCATATCTGTACTAAATATTTAAATTAGCAATGTTTTTCTACTAAACCAACTATGAAATTTATTGAAAAACTATTTTCGTGTACAGTCACGCGTAAAAAAAAAATTAAACACGGAAATGTTCAATAACATGACGTAATAATAAGGCTACAGCGACGTTAGTAAAAGTATAACGATATAAGGCAGTAAAAATTTAAATATTGATTGTATTCCTGCTGCTTCCAAACATGTAAAACGTAAATTTAAGGAATATTTTAAGTTACGTGTGAATTATTGGAGTGTGGATCATTTCCGTAAATGATATCGTTTTTAAGCGGACAGGGCTTAAATGATTTGCAGGGTATGAGACAAGCATTTTAAATATTATTTAACGTATGAAACCTACATATATTTTGGATATTTTGATGACTAATTAAAGGGACAGAAGAAATGAATTGAGTTAAACCGTGAATATGTTCAGAAAAGTTACATGTAGGCCTACTAGTATTATGGTTTTGACGTTGAGTAACGTAAAGTGTTTTCGTTTTAGTGGTCCGTGTATGAGGGTGCGCCTTTTTTGTATTTCATGAAAATATCACTATTTGTGCTTTGTTTTTGTTGAAAATTTGCATATCAACAAAATGATACATGACTTTAATGAAAATAATTCTTTCATATATTTTTTTCAATTTTTGTCAGTAATTATCAATGTTGTCCACGAACTTTACGGACAACCCTCGTATACTTAGTTGAAAGTGCTGCAAACCTATATACATTCTGCTATCTAATTGCAAAAATTACATTTCTTAGACGGTAGGATGAATATTATGCTGGTCAACTACAATGATTATAGGATTTAATAACTAATTTATATGTAGGATTTCATGTGGTTCGCATCACCTTTGAAATATCCTCTTGCTTCTTGAGTTTATTTGTAAAAGCTTAGCGTGATACATTAAAGGTATGCCCTTGCAATTAACTGATTCATTAGATCCATTTAAATAACAAATAATTTCCTTCATTGGTATTTTGAAGACCTAGCATTTTTGTGTAATGTCATAGTAAACATTTCGCGTAAAAATAGTCCCCGCCTCTTTTATGTTATCTTAACTGTGCGGCGTACCGACGATTATCAAGGAACAAAGTGTTGATTATATTATATATAATCATTAATTTTTTAAAGATTGTACTTAAGGTGAAAATATTTAAATATTCTAAATTGAATTTTTATGTTTTGTTTTCATGACTAATTTGTTTCATAATTTAAATATAAATATCAGTTTTATTTTGAAAAAAAAAGAAACCAAGTTAAAACATCGGCAAATTTTCGTGAAATTGGCAACCGAATCTAGCAGAAAATTGCATCGACTTTTCTACGGGTCAATGGCTATTCCCTCCATACTAATCTCAAAAAATAGAACTTAAAGACGAGCATATATTTAGTCCAAAGTCTACTTAATAATTTACGGATAAAATGCATCAATTTATTTCATAACACAATTTCAAAATATGTTTTGAAAAAACTAGAGCAGGCAGCTAGATTAACTGATTTCAATTATCAATAATATTTTTTTAACAAAACATTTTTATAAGCAAATTCACCGTTCACGGTAGCTCGGTAGATCGGGAGGTATTGAGTTCGAATCTCGGCCGCGACTGACATAGGTTGATAAAAATGGGTAGCAACTGTTCCTTCGCCATGCGCTGGGCACTTTGAAGAAACTTGCGGGTCCTTTGGATGAGACCTTAAAAGTCAAGGCCCCGTGCCAGGGGCAGGCGTTGGAACGATAAAGATCCCTCATTGCTCAATGGCCCTAAGCACCGAGTAAGGGTCAAAATTTGAAACTCTTCACCTGAATACTGTGACGTCTCCATATGAGTGAAAAATTCCCGAGAGGTACGTTAAACAATATACAATCAATCATATTGTAAGCAAATTCACTTTCATTTGGCGAGTGCGAGTTGTGTCCAAGATATGATGTAGTTACGATATGAACATGTTACTTTTCATAGTTTCCTGAAAATTTCTTTAGATTTATGTGTATAATGGTATACTTTCTGTTTTACAAAGGTTTCCTCATGCATTGTCAACATCCACATTATAGTGTCGACATCAGATTAGAACTGCTCAATGGATTATGATAATAACCTTTAATATTTTGTTTTTTATTTGAATTCTAACACTATATAAAGTTTTCCATGTGGCGTCGATACCAGCGATAATGTTTGCTCAACCCTTGCATGGTAGCGTCCTTTCGATTGCATATATGTCAGTTTTTTAATGTTTTGATAAAATGTAGTTTACATGAAAGGAGATTGTACATTTCATCAATATTGTCGATATCGTATCTATATTGTATTATATTCGTCATTGATTTTGTGGTTGTATGCCTTTACGAGATACATGTACGGATGTACTTTCTTGTTATTAATTGGCTTAACTGTCGATATCGTCAATACCAAATCGTGAGATTTGAAAATATATCATTAATTCCAAATAACACATGCTAACATTTAACAAAAAATCTTATGTAAATCTTTCCTAAGACAATAACATTCACTTATTTTTTTTTTTTTGTCATATAATTCACATTTTCATGCCAATGTTGAAATTATGCCGACTTCGCTTTTGTCCTTGTATAAAAATGTAAAAACTCAATATTAAAAATAAATATGTTTATTAGGATCGAAACGATATCGTAGTGGTATTGTCGATGTCGACGACATGTATGGCGAATGATAGATTGAATGTAGGTTAATGAAACAATACTTCTAATGTATCTATATTGTAGGTCGGTGAGAGAGAGAGAGAGAGAGAGAGAGAGAGAGAGAGAGAGAGAGTGAGAGAGATTTGGATTTAAAAATTGTTAGAAAAAATAAATGCATCCTACCGTAGGCAAATGCTACATGTCCTGTTAAAATAAATCTAACAATGCAAAAGATACACGGCAACCAAGCTCCACTACCCATGTTCTTTGATAAGGGTCAAATCGATTGCAGGAATTGCTAATGAAGAGATTTTGAATTTCCGCAGCTATTTATGCATGTCGTTTTTGTTATTCACGTTGAACAGTTTGCGTGGTAAACAAAGCGGATCATTGAATTGGGAAAAAAATTCCATGAAAAAGGTTTGTGGATTTAGTAAGAAATTCACTTACGTTTCATTCGTTTAAATACGTAGTGTCATTGATATTGTGGCTTAAATTTATTAACTACTCTCTGTTTTCCTTTAAAGTCATCTTTACATAGTACTTAGAAATGCGGATGAATACCCTTGTAAAATATCCGGTGAGGCATCTTCCTTTTGTACTTTGTATTTCTTTTTAATGCATGCATAAACAAATTTTTACTTAATGTCACTATTATAAAGTTTCCTTAAACTTTTAACTACTTCCATAACACAAAACTGTCCCACAAGCTCGTTACCTGTAAAATCAACTTTCAAGAACATTGACTAATATTAACTGTAGATCACTTAATCTTTGCAAAACCTTTTTCCGCGAGATAGCCATTGACTCTTTATTAGCAAGACAAAATTTTCACGAATTGTGGTCATTGCTCTTTGAGAATGAAATTTTTGCAGGCATATTGTCTCGCGGAATTTCGCAAAAATAAACAACAAAATAAACGAACAAATAGTGAATTACAGTATTCAAAAACCCTATAAATTACATACAAATACATGCAAATAGATTGGGAAAAATAAAAGTTAAGTTAAAGAAATTCCTTTTTTGTAATATTTTTATCTGATTGAAAAGACGTTTAAAAAATATTATATTTTGCAGACCTAATTAGGAATATATAAGACCATTAAGATTCAGCTGATTTTTTTCCCTTAATTTATGTATTTCTGTTTACAAGCACCTTTGTAAAGGTTGTCAAACGACTTCATGTTTCGTTAAAGTTTGCGGCCCATGCCAATCTATGTTACACTATTTTCAATAATTTAAGAATGAAAATAACTGTTTTTATACATGTATATGTAAAATATTTATTTGTTCAAGTGTGTATTGTCTTTTTTGCGATTTAATGAAACTTATTGAAAATTATGTTACTTAATTTTAAAATCAAAATATTCATGAATGCGGGACAGCTTTATCAACTTTCTAACCTCAAAGGTATATCATCATTAGGTTTAAAAAATCTATTTCACATAACACCTGCTCAAAAAAATTCTTTAAACACTTGAAATTTAGTTTAACAAGTATTGTTCCAGAAGCATAATTATATCACCCTGGCGTATATCTTTTGTTATCTTCTTTGTTTGCAATTCCCGCGTGTTTGATCAAGCATCATAAAACATCCATGCCTGTACTTAGATTTATCAATCAGTCATAAGGCTTTTACAAACGCCTCGCGTGTCTCTTGTCATCACTACATTACTGTGTAAGATTTACGCTGATGAAATAAATCCCATAATAAAATGCAATGTTTGCTAAGATCTAAGTTGGCAATTCTAACACCATTTTCCAAACTTATCTTATTTTAAACTGATATGATTGATTGTATATTGTTTAACGTCCCTCTCGAGAATTTTTTGCTCATATAGAGACGTCATTGTATGCCAGTGAAGGGCTTCAAATTTTGTCACATACTCTGTACTCAGGGCCATTGAGCAGTTAGGAATCTTTATCGTGCCAGTGCCTACCGTGACACAGGAACTACATTTTAAAGGTGATATCAGAAGACCCGTGACTTTGACTTCTGATGCCGAGCGCTTGGCGAAGGAACAGCCACTACCTATTTTTACGTCTTGCGTTTGACACGGCGCCGCGAACAAGAATCAAACCCGAGCCTTCCGATCACGAATCGAACGGTCTACCACTAGGCTACCGTGAACGGTTTTAACTGATATGAACATCACATAAGGGATAGTGTAAAGAGACTTAAATGTCAATCTATCATAACATATAAAAATACCTACATGTATCTATGAAGCTTTTATATACAAACAATTTCTTGAAATATTTTAGAAAGATTAAGAAGGATTTTAGTGCTTCAGACTATTCGTTTTATTTTATAATATGACTTAAATAATACAAATTATACTAAGAGTAGAGGTAACACATCTCTTGTGACAGAGAATTCGGTAAAAATCTGCCTGAAACAATAACAAAATTTTTGCATTAAATAGGCTTTATTTTAATTTTTAAGGCAAAATTCAAAGACAGATTCTCAAAATCTCACTGCAGTGGATATGAGGTAACATATATTGCAAACAATCTCTCTGATAAAAATCAATTAGAGTGCACACTTAAGAAAATCATACGCAGTATCCTTAATTTATCCTTACGAATAACGTGTATTTGTCTATACGCTTTAAATATACCATATTTGTCTACTTACGTGCAGCAGGGATTATATCACACTCATTCCCTTTAATTTTAATGTGTATATATCAAACAAGAGTTAGAATAGCGATATTATATTGCGAATATATTCAAAATTATAGAAGCACATTAAAAAAAAACAATCCAGAGACCCTCATTGACCAAAAAATATACAATTTATAACACATCAATCCTTTCCGAAATTACCTTTTCTTTTGACTGTAAAAGTTCATGCACAAACCTGAAAGGCATGCCAAAGCCTCAACTCATTTTTCAAGAAAGACAATTTTGTTACACGATATATTTTAAGGTAAAATGTTCCACGAAGTTAATGTTATGCATGGTTGGTAGAAATATGTTAAAAATTATAATGATAAATGCTGTTTCTAGACCGAAGAAGAAAAAAAAAAAATAAAAACACTACTAGGAGACTTATTGTTCACAGAACAATAAGAGGTCTTTCCACCTTCATTGAATTTCAGTTTCATTTAATATTTATCTCTTTAAAATCAAATTTCATCAAAAAGAAACCAGAAATGGCTTAAAAGAAGAAAAAAATGAAAAATTTAAAAATTTTGAGGTGACCTTGACCTTTGACCTTCAAATTATATTCAAGGTCAAAGGTAAAGGATCACATTGTAATAAACCCCATGCCTCTATGACTTATTGTTTTAAAGTTATAAGGTTTAATGGTAAGCACAAAAACATTAAAGGGTATTAACTCATTGAAGGTGTGACCAGATCCTTTCGCACTTGAACATAAAAGTTGTGCCTAAAGTTCCTTAAGACATTAGTGAAGGTTTCATGTCTCTGTGGTTTACGGTTTCAGAGCAATAGCAATAACAAGGTTTTTCGCACAAAGGGTGATAACTTTTAATAGGTTAAATCTTAAGGAACAAGAATGAAATCTTTGAAATTGTTTTAAGAGTACGTATTAATGACGCAAAAACATATTGTATATGTTAAAAGACCAAAAAAAGATATAAAAATGCTTAATTTCTTATTTTTGGAATGACCTTGACCTTTGACCTTTGCATAAATTTTAAGATGAAAGGTCAATGAATCTTATGCAGTTGGTCCCACATCTCTACGACTTCTCATTTTGAAAATTTTAAAGTATTTGTGAAATTCAAAAAGTTTCAGGGGCAATAACTCATTGAAGGGGTCTTTGAATACTTTCGCAATGAATAGATTGAAAAGTCTCCTTGATTAGTCAAAGACATTGGTGAAGGTTTTATATATCTACGGTTTACGGTATCAAAGGAGTAGCGATAACAAGGTTTTTCGTGCAAGGGGCAAGAACTCCGAACAGGGTCATAGTTCATAGTAAAGGCATCAAATCTTTTCATACGTTTAAATGACCTTTACGACGAACAAAAAATCTTTTCGATAAACCTCGAAACAAAAAATCAGCGGAAGAAAAATAATAATAAACAGAACAATTTCAATAGGTCTTTCCACAGAAAGGTGGAAAGACCTAATAAACAGAAGAAAATCAATAGGTCTTTCCACAGAAAGGTGGAAAGACCTAAAAATGAATGACTTTGACCTTTGACCTTGACCTTAACTTGAAGGTCAAAGTATTTAAAGTAGTTGAAGACACTGTTTAAGGTTTCGCATCCCTACGGTTAATGGTTTTGAAGGCATAGCAATACGAAAGTTTCGAGGGCTATGTTTGGTCTACATTGTAGTTTAACACTAGTAGACTAATTGTTCACTGAACAATTAATGGTCTTCCCACCTTTCTTTTAAGTTTTCATGTCATTTGAATTAAAGAAGGAAAACCAAAAAAAAAAAAAAAAAAAAAAAAAAAAAAAAAAAAAAAAAAAATGTGCTGCCAGCAGGATTCGAACTGTGGACCCTCAGCCCTCAGATTGCCAGGCGAGCGCTCTACGCACTACACCACAGGCTCCGATGACATTGTTTTCCGTAAACTAAGAGTGAAGAAAAAAGAAGAAATGAAAGCACGTGGATTTAAATAAAAATAGTACAGAAACACGTGTATTTATTTGTTTGTGATGGAACATAGAGAAGAATAATGAATAGTTTCGAGAAAAACGATTGGTGGATAATGAAAATAGAGATTTCCTGTACAAAAAAAAAAATTGAGTTTGTTTATAGTTTGAATAGATTGAGTTAATCATACAGAGCTTATGATACATTCGAACTTCCGTGTCGGCACTGTGTTTACAATTTGTGAAAATATAGGCGCGTTTTCGTTTTGACAGAAATGGCGAACTCATAGGTTAGATTAAATAATCATCTCTATTTGCATTGAATTCATAGTTTTGAGCATAAATTAAACTTGAAACATGCATTTCATGAAGAAGACGGTGTCACGGAGAGCGTGCAAATTTCTTTTATATGAAAAATCGCTATTTCCGAGTTTCAGCCGATTCATATTTAAATCTAAATAAAATTAAAATAAATTCCATACACCTAAGAAAGCAAGAATACTTGGTATTAAAATGTCGTTATAGAGCAGAAGAATCGAATGATATTAACCATAATTGCAGAAATAGCCAATGCGAGCTTTAATTAATTTTTATGCTCAGCAGTAACTTAATTTCAGACAGAAAAAAAATGCAGATTTTGCCGATATTCACTAGAATTTCATTGTCCTTTAGAGACTCACCTTAAAACTCTCAGGACACTTTCTTTCAGGTCTTTTCTTCCTTTTATTACGAATCTTATGTCGATATTTCGTTTCGTTTGACTTGCAGACATTTTCTCTGAGTTGGTGTTGATTTTATTTTATTTTCTTACAAGGGGGGGGGGGTATTTTATAAGCATTTGTTAGACTGATGGTTGTAAATAACTCTACGACCTTTAGCTTGATTGTGACCTTCGGGTCAATGGGGTCAAAGGTCAAGGTCATTTATCAAGGTCAAAGGTCAAGGTCATCCAAAAAGAGAGAGAGAGTTAAACTTGAGATTAACACTTGAAGCTGAATCTAGATAAGGTAATGAATATTTCTTTATGACCTTTTGAGTAAGGGTCAAGGTCAGTGGTCAAGGTCAATGTCAATTTTCGAGGTCAAAGTTCAAGGTCATTTGGATTTTAAG